ATATTCACCAAATGCCGTATAAAGTGAGAGAGATAATCAAAGTTTTTCACAATGAAATTCTACTAGCCAATTACAAATTTGTTACATCGTCAATCCCATCCAAAATGTGATATTGTGGAGGCCTGAATCGCCTTTGAGATATCGAAAAAAAGCACTATACTACCTGGGTTCGACTCCAACCTGGAGAAGAATGCCATTTAGAAGGAAGGCTTTGCAAAAATCAATGGAATCATATAAATTTGGGAAATTTCAGCTCTCAGTGCGAACAATCGTAACCTACCCGATATGGATATCTAAACAAAGCACTGAAGAAGTTTTAATGCAGCTGTAGGTAAAACACGATTTTTTTATCAAAAGAAACTTTCGAAATTATGATTTATGGTCAATTTGACAATTATGTCACGTTTCGAAGTGGTGATCATTCAAAGTAGTTAGCCTTTATCTTACTAGCCGAGTTGCGTCAATTGGCAATGGGATCTGTTCCATCAGCTCCTCGGTCCGTGCGGAGCCTGCCGAGCCGACACGGCCTGTCGATGTTGACAACGTCGTCTGGGGCCCAATTGATGACGTCGTCGCAAGGTATCGTCGCAGACGCGACAGTTGACTCTCCAATTGACGGTTGTGCTCCTCCAGCATCTGCATTCGTGCCTCAAGCCGACCCTTATGCTGACGCAGGAGACGGGCCTCAGCAATGCCTGAATTTCAAGTATTATTTAATTATATTTACCATTAAAGATCAGCTAATCGCTATTTATCATCTGTTTTACTAGTCATGATATGATAGTTAACTGGTTTGTTTGGCCCTAGTTAAAATATTGCGAAAAAGTCATGGAAAGCCGCTTAGATTACGATGACCAATTGAGTCTCTCCTTATGGGGCAAAGCTACCCGCTGGACCTGGTTTCAAGATCTTCGTGCCAAGTAGGAGAAATAACTTATAATCTGGATCCTGTTCGAGGTCCCTATAGCTAGCGGAACCGTAAAGAAGGCCTCGACAAAAGAAATAAATCGTCATTATGGAAAGTTGCCATGCAATTTGAAGATGCTCCACCGTGAAATAACGTAGAATGTTACTTCGAGATGACTGATTAGCGAAGCTATTGGCATCCTGTATAGGCGAGCATGTGCACTCCTTCCAATGAGGCTATTTTGGCGAAGCTTTATTTCTTGTGGAAGTTTCAGATGAAGGGTTTGGGGAACATTTGCAGAACGCCTCCTGTCAAGTTGGAAAGAGTAAGGGGCAGCATGATTTGAAATGTAATAGTTCTCAGGACTTCCTCATTCTGTCTTGAAGGCATTGAGCTTGGCTTCTGTCTGCGTTTGACCGATATTCTAACTCAGGCTCGCGAGTACATCATTAACGATGAGGAGTTTATGAGGACCATATTCTATTTTTTTCAATCTGCTAAACCTAAGAACAATATCTCATATAGCGTGTTTTTACTTATTTTATTTCCATATCTATGTCTACCCTCCTACACTCTACATGAAAACAAATTAAACGTAGATGAGAGCACATTTTAGGAAATAAATTGTAAACTTCCTTCAGATGGTATTTTTATTAGTAAGAGAGTAAAGTTTTGAGCGTTTACTTCCTTGGGAAAGATGAATTAAGAACACTATAATGTGATATTTTGTAGGCAAGTAAATTATATTTTATAGGTAACCCAAGCTGAAAATGTTTGGCTACTGCTCTTGTAGAGTAAGAGTTGAAAGGCCAAGCATCATGTTAGGCCACATAAAGACTTACTAGTTCATAGAAGTGGGTTGACCTCGTTGTCGCAACTTGGTCTTGTTGTCAGGGCGACTTAGTAGAACAAACCTAGTCCGAAGTCGTCTGCTATAGTAGTTGTCATGATTCCTAGCATCAGGCAGTGGACTTGGTACATTCTCAAACGTTTCGCCCGCATCGTAGTCGGCATCATCAGTGAGTTCTACCATTCTCCGCCCTAAGCTTCAACCTCGTCACATGTGAAGTCAATCCTTCGACATACGTTCTATCGATAAAGGTTACACTATCACTCCTCTTTCTGTCCTGACTTATCTATACACTCTTTACCCTATAATCCCACTGCCGTCCTATCCCAACTTCTGACTTGTTTACACTCCACTCGTCAAAATGTGTGCTCTTTAGTGACAATTCTAGTATGGCCTCATCACACTTGTTATTCACCCCAACCGCCCTCTTTCAATCGGCTAATCCGACTCGGGCCGCTAATCCGAATACCATCATTGTCTCGTAGATCCGTTCTTTATCTTTCTGGTTGACCCATTTCACTCAGTTCCAGTTACAGTGTGCATTTCACTCCAGGCGCTATTTCTCAAGACCCTAGAAGCACATACACTGCCGCTTCACTGAGCATAGAGCCTAATCTCTGATTCCCAGGCTTGCAGATATCAGGCCTTCCTTTCAAAGGCTCTCTCCTTGATTAAACCCGTGTTATCTGAGTAAACTGTGAACGTCTATCTCTGGTCGCATGCGGCATCTCAAGTGGATTTCTTGTACATTTTGGCCATAACGCCGAATTTCCATTACGGTTTGCGTATCCGTCTGCCCAGCTCCCCCCCAAAGTTGTATTGGTTTATCCGAAATGGACATCACCCACTGACAACGTCTTCGATTTATTGCCGAAAACCACTTCCCCCCACTTTGTTCCTCGCGATCCCTTTTCCTCCGGTTAGCGATAGATCC